CGCTGGCGACTAACAGCGCCGCCGTAGCGGGAGCATGGACTTCTTAACATATACAGTTACCGCCAAAAATCTCGGGCCACCTGCATAATTTCTGAATAGTTTGAGATATAAGATTGAAATTTACAGGAATACAACGAGATCTTAAAATCTGTCATTGAACCTCAAAAACACCCACCTTAACATTCCGGAGGGGAAGGAGGACAAAAATGCCTGATAATTTTAAATGGCATATATGGGGTCCAATGAAGGCTCGTTTGAAAGGGCTTTCCGAGACGAGAACAATGTAAACTGACCGAGGTCTCTACGATTGTTTTTCGCAGAATTATAATCATTTGAATATTGTTATTCAAATGTACGGAGTCAAAATGAGCGCGAGTGCGTGCGCACACATTCACACATGAGATGTAACTCTTTCTTTTGAATAACAATGTCCAAATGATCATAACTCTGCAAAAAAAAATTATAGAGATCTGAGTCTGCGTTGTTCACGCCTTGAAAAGCCCTTTCAAACGAACCTTCACTCAATCCCACATGTCATTTAAGATTTTCAGGCCCCCTTCTCTCCCCTTCCCCTGAGAATATTAAGATGAATATTTTTGAGTTTCAATGATAGGTTTTACGATTCCGTTATATCCCTGTAAATTTCAATTCTATATCACGAACCATTCAGAAATTATTCAGGTGGTCCGGGACTTTTGGCGGGCACTGTATAATAAAATTATAATTGATGATCTACATCTAGTTCTAGGGTCTAATTGTGGATAATGATACAATTTTAACACATTCAAGTTTATTTAAAATCAGTGACAATTAATCAATGATAATTAAAAAAAATTAATTTAAATTGAATGTATAGTAATAAAAAACAGTTAAATTATGAATAGTAATACTTTTTGCATATAGACATGTATACTATTTTATATTCTATAATATTTTGATACTTAAAACAAATGTTTTCGGGAAGGTATCATTTGTAAGATTTGACAAGCTTTTAAACATTTTTATAAATTCACACAAAAGTATCGTTATAATCTAGTGATTAAACAATAACTGCGGACACATTTAATTTCAATTGAGCATAACGTTGATTTTTTTCAATGAAATCTAATGTTATTTATTGAAAATTATTTTATAGCCTATAAAAACCATAAAACAATTCTTATGATATTACACTTCGAATAAATTTTTAAAGATACATACGTTAATTAATCGTACACTTAATTAGTTAATGACATTAATAAAATGTGTAGCGCTGTTCCTAATAAATTAAATTCAATTGACACTTGAAGAGAGAAAGCAAATGCTATCTTATGATATGTACCATTTAATGAAAAATACTATAATTATTTAAATATAAAAAATGAACCGGAATTAGTTTCTAATCCACATCTAATGGTTTTATCCTATAATTAAGAATAAATAAGAATAACGAGTATATTTTAAATTAATTTTTAACGCTATTTTGCTGTTTTTTTATTTTGAGAAGATAAGTAAATTTAAATAACTATATTTTCACTATGAGAAGTATAAGATTTGTTCGCGTCGCATGCTCTAACATACTCTGCTCTAACATACTAAAATGCTCCTACCATAGCATCTACTCACTCTAACGATCATTGAATAGGAACTATAAGCAGGAGCACATTGGAGCATGCTGGAGCATACGAACAAATCTATACTTAAATGTAAAGGAGGATGTTAAAAAAAATCTGATTTTTGGCCCTCCTGCGGAATCTTAGGGTTGCCACAGAAAATGAACTTTAAAATTCCCTGATTCTTCCAGGTTTTCCAGATATAAATGAGAAATTTTCGTAATCAATATAAAATATGTAAAAAATTTAACATTTAGAATCAAGAATTGTAAAAAAGCTAGCTTATATTATTAAAAATGCAAAAGAAGCTTAGTAATATAATAAAATTTTGGGCGCAAATTCAAATCAACAAAAAAATAAACTAGTATTAGAAAAAAGAATGCAGTTACGACGAAAAAGGGTGATCAAATAAAATTATTGAATAAAATAAAAATTTTAATTATTTTTTTTTTAATTATTCAAAGTGCATGAGTTTTGAACGTATTTGACTATAAACGTTAGACATAATATTTAAAAAATTATAAAAATTATTTGGAATGTAGAAGCAGTTTAAAGGAATTGTGAAAAAATTTGAAATTCCAGTCTCTTTTATATTTTTCCTTGACTTTTTCCGGTTTTCCATGATTAATTGTAATTTCCCTGTATTTTCCCGGTTTTTCAGATCTGTGACAACCCTGTACAATGAACAAAAAGTTGTTGCTTCTCAGCAAACGAAAATGGATTAAAATGGATTAAAATGCATTCAGATTTTTAGAAATACGCATTTGCGAACGTTAAAATCAATTCTTTTTAAATCGAATACATTTTTATTTATATAGGATTTGCATGAAGCACATTTCTACGCCTTTCAATCTAAAAATAGTCTCAGCTTTTTTGTGCTTCGGATATTTTTTAATTCAAAATTCCGAATAGGAAATGAAGTTTTTCAAAATCCAGTTAAATCCAATTAAATCTAAAAAGAGTTTTTATTATAAACACGCATTCGGAAAAATAAAATTTCAATTCATTTTAATCCATTCACGTTTACTGAGTGATTCAGATTTAGAGAGTGGAACCCCATGAAATAGTGAAAACAGTTTTATGTCCCAAAAATACGGTGAAAGTAAATTTTTTTTATGTTATATCGTGTCTCCTCTTGTAAGTTAAATTTTCATATACCATTCTAGAATTTATCATAAATCAGATGTAAATTATCTCACGATAATTAGTACTTAAAGGTTGATCACGAACCTGTTACTAAAAATAGCAAATTATAGAAATAGGGGATCGAAAATGATTCTTAACATACAGTTTTATATGTAAGATTACAATAATCAATTTTGTTATCAAAATGAATTTGAGCGTGCTTTTTAAGATACGCTGATTATGATCCATTAAATGAAAAAATCAATGGTGACGAATTCAAAATGGCTGATCCAAAATGTTTGTGCCCGATTAATGTCATATATTTAATATAGATATTTCATAAAAAAAAATAAATGCACCATCTTTCGAGATTTTCTATTGTACATTGTTAAAGTAGGATTAAGGAAAATTCAAATTAAAAAGAATTCCCATAAATGATGAATACTAGAGAGCGGGTGTAAATTTAATTATTTGCTTCAGTCAATGAAAATGGCCTACTTGACTACTTTCAATCAAATCCAGAGATAATGGTGACGATGTGATAGTCACTGTCTCCATTACTAAAAACTTTAATTTAAAAAATTTTTTAATGTTTTTTATATGTCTTTTAGTCTTAGAATTTTTTTCAATTTGTAATCTGTAATGTATCTAATGAAAAAATTTCAGATAAAAGTGAAGAAACGATTTCGAAAGAGACGTGTTCATGTTGTTTTTTTTCTAGTGGAGGTGTCATAGATATGAAAGTCACTATTAATTTTTTTAGTAATTGTATTTTTTATCATTTTTACACAATACGATTCCTCTAATTATTTTACATGTAAAAATATTAAGATAGAGATATTGAAAAATCAAAAGAATAAATTTCGAGTTATTTTATACTATATTCTGGCTCATATTGACATAACATTAAATATCTTGTAAACTATTCATCGTTTTTATATAATCGTAACTTAATACTTTTATGCACGTAATAATGAGCTGAATCAATTGGTGTAAAAAAAACACATAGTTAGATGCTTATTGAAAAATTATATAGTTTCGTAAATTTAAAAAAATGTTTAATTTTTAAAATAAACAACTTGTATTTTCTTTACACTGATTCATCTCATAATTCTGTGCATAAAAGTACGATTCAAAAAATATATAATTTATAATACTTTATGTCAATATGTACTAGAATAAATATAAAAAATAACTCGAAAATTATTTTTTTTTCAATATCTCTAATACTTTTATATAATTAAAGAAATCATATTATGTAAAAAAAATTATATAATTACATTTAAAAAAAGTGAAGGCGACCTCTCATGTAGATTATAATACATGTAATGTAAATTATGGTCCAGAGTTATCTGAGCATAATTTCTTGCCTTTATGGCATAAATCCTCGTACGATGTATTACATCGGATTACTCTATTGTACGAATTCTATTTCTATTTATTTTAAATGATATAAAATATCTAAAAAATATTATAATGTGATAACTTTTCGATCGCATAATTTGAAATAATGGGGTAATTAATAAACGATAAGTAAATGCATGACTTCTTATCGTATTGAACGAAGCTAATTGTGAGTAAAAGAGAAACGTATTAACATATTGTCACTCATTCGCTAAAAAATGAAAATATTGAAAATAGACAATTTACTCAAAAATATTCATATACGCATATTCACATATACATTGTCGTTTATCAAAACAAAAAATGAGTACTGAAAATGATAATCTACCCAAAAATACCCATACGCATACTCACGTATACTTATCATATTCCTTCGCAATAACTAGACTACGTACTTAATAGTGTGTAGTCATTAAAAAAAACAGATGTAAAAATGGAACGGGCTAAAAACGATCCATATGAGACATAAAAATAGTGAAATATTTTTGTAAGAATTGCAGCTTAAATTTTTCACTAACCTCTCCTTTTTTATTTAATATTCTTATAGCTGAATATTAAGATCTTTTCACTATAAAATGAAATTCCATTTGATTAAGTATTTTTCATGATCTAAATTATTCTAAATTGACAGAGTTTAGATACAGCCGGGATTAGCATTATACAATGTGTCCAATAGACAGCTAGAACTTCTTGAATGTTGTTCACAGTCACATCTTTGATAATATTTGTCAAGATCAAAACTATTTAGGGATTGATTTTCTTTTATTTTATTTTAATTTTTACGTTAAACATAAATTGTTTTTCTTTTTTTTACATATATATATATATATATACACTACATAGAGCGCCGTCCCTGCTTTTACGTACTGAATAGCTTACCTGTATATGTATCCTTCAGCTCCGACACTGCGCGTTGAAAGATTTCGTTGATCTACAGAGGATTTCCTTCCAGAAAAACCCGATCCACTGCCGGCGTTTCTCCTCTTCGTATGAGAACCACCAGTGAACATCATCTTCCAAAACTTCACCAATGGCTCAATAATTTAACTTTACTTCATTATCCTTGCATCAATAATATTATTGTCGTGATTGAATTCATTATTCATGATTCATAATTCAATTGATTTGGATGTAAGCGAACGGGCACTTCATACATACTCTCTGCATACTTGATTTTTAATCTATGACAAATATTTAACATATTCTATTTCTTGCCTCATTCTCTTCTTTTTAATTATGGATACATCTTCAATTATATATAAAAATATGATTTTTAATTATAAAAGTATGATAATAATGATATATATAATGATATAAAAAATGTCCATAAAAACTTTAAATTATAATAAAAATTTTTTAATAAACATGGAATTAACAAACGATATTAAAATTTAAGAGACGTTTTCATAGATTATAATCAATTAACTTTATTTCATAATGATTACCTGAACTAATAATTGAAGATTAATTGATTATAAATTTGTACGCAAAAATTAAGGATTATTTACAAGCAACGAACTGTAAATAATAGAATTGTAAATAATAGATCTTTCAATAAAATTTGTAAAATATTAACCCAAATGGCTAAAACGATTTACAACAAAAATTTATAATTATTTTGCCTTTATTCAAAGGATTCTTTACTCTTGATTACTTACATATATCATATAATATCTTTGTGTCGATCGAGTGTCATTCGTTAATTAGGACGTTAAATCGTTCACATTAACATGAGACTACGAATTCGAATTAAGTATTTAGTATTATTAATAACGTTTAATCTTAATTATTCTATAATTTAATGTTTATTTGGTTTTTATAAAAAATAATATAGATTCAATCTGACTAATAATTGACGAGGTCTCACTGCTAGTCCATTTTTTAAGAAATTTATCAATACTAATCCATCTTATGTATCTCAATGTGACATATTTTAATGTATTTGACTGCGACATTCTCTTTAATTTTCATGTATTAATAATAATTTTGGATATATTTTCG